GATATCAAAAAAGTACTCCAGAGTGTTGTTCAGCATGGGGGTGAGTAGAAAATGAAGGCTAATCATGTTTTGGGTGTACTATTCCTTTAAGTGTAAAAGTATTTCTATATCTAAATGATCAGAGTCATAATTTAAAACTTTAGAAAATGAAATGATTTTTGCTAAAATCGGTAAAAGAAGCATCTAAAGTCCAAAAAACTGAGATGATCAGAAAGTTGAGGAGCTGTCCACCAGCACCACCTTCAAGGGGGTCCAGGAAAGTCCCAGATTTCAGCGAGATGAGAACATTTAAAGATCAGGAACCATTTTACCTTTTTTCCTCCTTTCGTTCTCTGGTTCCTTTGTTTCTTCTTGTTTCTTCGTCCTTTATTAGTTCCTCTGTTGTTTCCTTCAGTTCTCCCTTTACCTCGTCCTGTTGTCCGCCTACAGGAGGTGTGTGTGTGTGTCTGTAGTTCAGGGTTTGAGTGTCAGGATCAGGACCCCACTAAGAACTGAGACGTCACAGCGTTCAGCCTTCATCTGAACCTCCTCCTACATTTTTCCACCTCCATCTCCTAAAAGAGGCTCTCTTCCTCGCCCTCCCACCCAAAAATAGCCCAGAACAGCCCAGCTGTCCTCTGGCCCAGCACCTCCTCCTGCTGTGCGTCCTTCTGGGTTTCAGGTTTTAGATCTGGCCTGCTTTCAAACACAAATCAGACTAATGGTACCTCAGCTTTTCCTCTCCAGACGTCCCAAACAACCGGTAGGAGAAATCATGAGTGACTTCCGTCTTTTGCTTCCCAACCTGGACTTTCCTGAAGGGCTCAGTCTGTTCTTGGGGAGAAGCAGCTTCTTGGCTTCTTATCTTCTCTCCTTAGCAAATGTTTACAGCTGCTGCCACTGTTGAGCAAGCTCTGCACTGGTGGCAAGATAAACTTACAGACTGTACGGAAGATTGAGATCTTCTCTGGCTGGTCTATACGCTGCAAAAACCATCTAGAAATAAGTAAAACATTTCTTAAATTAAGTGTATTTACCTTTAATTTCAGTAGTTAAACAGGATGATCTGCCAATGAAATTCGTATTTTTACTCTTAAAATAAGATAATTAGATAAAATGCACTTAAAATAAGACAATGCAACTGTTTTTTCTTATTTTAAATGTAAATAGACTTGTTCCATTGGCAAAGTGTCTCACTTACCTCCTCAATTCAAGACAAAATGCACTTATTTTAAGAAAAAATGACTTATTAAGATTTACATTTTTTCTCAGTGTAATCGATTAATTGATTGATTGATTTTATTGATTTCACACTGGAGACATTTACTCGTTACATCAGCTCAAATAATCAAAGAAAAATGTGCCAAAGGAAGAAAAAGGTGCATAGCATATATACAGTATATTCAGTGCGTCCACATATGACAGCTTTTTTTTATTTTCATATAGTAGAATCATTATACAGGGTTATTGCACAGGGTGTTTACATGGGTATTTATATAGATGGATATTTGTATTTGTATATATAGTTATTGCACTGGGTGCCAAATATAGAGAAACAGCTTATTCAAATATATAAATAGTAATTGCACATTCTACATTGCACAAGTTATTGCCGTTGTAATGTCGCATTGTAGAGTCTGGGTGCAGCAGGGGTGAACGACCTGCGGTAGCGCTCCTTTTTACAAACAAGGTGTAAAAGTCTTTGACTAAAGGAGCTGCTCAGCTCCTTTACAGTCTGCTGCAGAGGGTGGAAGGTGTTGTCCATGATGGATGTAAGCTTGGATGGCACCCTCCTTTCAGACACTTCCTCCACTGAGTTCTTCATCATTGCATCTCCCTAAAGGTCTGGAAAACTCTAAAGGAAAATTGGAAGAAAAGATGAAACAAAATCAAAACAAATGAAGTAGGCAACAAATGATCGGAAAGCATCAGGTCATGCCCCAAAAAATTCATAAAAATGCATCAGTTTGAAGTGTGATGATGCCAGAGAACCACAGAGACGTCAAAAACTTACTGTTACTCCAAGAGCTCAGCAATGACCCAGGATCCAGGAGGTACAGAGCAACTTCTAAAGCTCTGCAGGCTTCCGTAAAGGTCAGAGGTCATGATTAGAGAGAACAAAAAGAGTCTGATTGAATCTTTTATCGTTCCCCTTGGGGGAATGTCTGCCTCGCAGCTAAGGACTCTCATTCAGGGCAACACAGATATGTAGCATGAGAAACACAAGCTTGTAGGAACAAATAAAAATGACCACTAACCTGATGCTATAGGAAGAGAAAAGTTCTCCGATCTGCTGGTTTTCATCCTAAAGCTCTGCCCAGAGGATGGCAGCTGGACCGTTGAGAGGATGGTCACGAAACTGCAAAACTAACCAATTAAAAAAATATTTTTAAAAGACGTTGAGCGATACTAATGATCTTTGTTGTGGCTTTTAGAATTTTGATTAGTCTGATTTATTTTGAATACTCAGATTTCAGAAACAGGTAAGCATAAAGTTAAAATGGATTCTATAAAAATTGCTCTTTACACTAAAAAAACTTCCTTAAAGTCAAATCACAGCAGCCATTTTTATAGATTAAGATATTGATATAATTTGTGTTATTCAGCATCTCATTTTTGGCGATTGTGCCCAAATATTTATCATTTTTAACCCTCTCTATCTCAGAGTTATTAATAAATACTGGACTAAGAGACTGTGGAGCTTTACAGATGTAAACATCCTTATCTTTTTATTTCGTTTCAGGTTATTTTTAAAATACCAGTGAATAGAGCGATCAACCGCAGGCTAACCATGTTTAGTCTCACCCTCCTATAGAAGACTGACTGTAGCAAGTAGGGATAAAAATGGCGGCAATGGGAGAACTGCAAACCCAGAGCCACTGCAGACCCAATAGAACATAAAAGCTCGTCTAACATTAACCATGAAACATGAGATGATCACTAAGTGGACAGAACCAACAGTCGACCTCTTTGGAAGCTTAATGGACATCGTACCTTCAGTAGAACATGCTGGTGGTAGTGTGAGTGAGTAAATCTTTATTGACTAAAAATCCACCCAAAAATCAACTTTAATCTCAAAATTCTGACTTTAATCTCAAAATCTGACTTCTTTCGAAGAATTTTGACTTTAATCTCAGAATTCTGACTTTTTTCTCTAAATTCTGACTGAATTCTGATAATTAAAAAGTCAAAATTCTGACTTTAATTTCAGAATTCTGACTTTAACCTCAGAATTCTGACTTTTTTCTCTGAATTCGGACTGAATTCTCATAATTAAAAAAGTCAGAATTCTGACTTTAATCTCAAAATTCTGTCTTTAATCTCAAAATCTGACTTCTTTCTAAGAATTCTGACTTTTTCTTCTCAGAATTCTGACTTTTTTTCTCAAAATTCTGAGATTAAAGTCAGAATTCTGACTTTTTTCCCATACTAAACTGAAATAAAATTTAAAAATCTGTTAACTTTTTTTTTTTCTAATCCTCTTCCGTACTACCTGGATATAAAGTTGAGTTATTTACTATTAAAAGCAGTTTTGTCTTAGTTTGTTTTGAATGTTTTTATTGTTCAGAGTGTAGAGGAACTCCTCCCCGGCAGCGTCGCTCTGCTCAGCCCCGGATCCACTAACAGTTTCCGGGGGACAGGGCACCATCAGCAGCAGCACCAGCAGCAGCCATGGCGGATCAGCTGCTGGAAACAGTGGAGAGACTTCAGTCCCGGATCCAGGACAACCCGGAGCCCCGAAAGGTAAACCACTGGCCCGCTCCAACCGGACCGGGCTCCTGTTTCCACACCACCGAGTACCGAGGCCCGTCTCAGACCGGGGAAGGTGTCAGAGCCGCGGACACCGCAGCTTAGCGAGAGTCGCAACCGTTTCTTTTAATGATGCGTTCACGGACCGTCGGCTACCCCTCACTTCAGGGTTACTTAAAACGATTGAGGAAACAACAGTTTGAGTTCCCTGTTGTTCTTAATGCCACATCATCTGGTTTATGGTTACTATTTAAAACATTAGACGTTTTTTTATTGTTTTTTGTTAAAGGTTTTGTCATATTTGCTATAATTTATCAATCAAAACATTCTGGACTAAGGAAGTGAGGCTGAATTTATGTTTATCCTCAGCTGAAGATTTCTCTGAAGTCCAGATATTTGACTGATATGAAATAGAGATTAGGGCTATAGACTTGGACTCAACTGTATTTATCCATTGGCTTCAGTCCTTCAGGGAAATTCTGGTTCCAGAAGCTTCTATTCAATTCAATTCAGTTTATTTCTATAGCGCCAATTTACATCATGGCATCTCAAGGCACTTTCCAGTTCACCAGATCATCCAGTCAAATTTATTCAAAATTTTCTATCTAAGGAAACTAAGGAAAGTTCATTGCATTGACTCCAAGGCAATCCCTCACACTAAGCATGCTTGTAGCGAAAGTGGAGAGAAAAAACTAAATTTTTCCTTTCCGCAAGACGCCCTTAAAGATAAAAAATACAACAGACAATATAAAAAGGGTGTATATAGTATATAAAAAGAAATAAAATTATGTATTTGAATATGTTTCCCTTAGATATGAAAATATCTGAACAGTAGAGAGCTAAAGGGAGACTAGTAGTTAACTTGGATTATTGCACTTGTATTGCAGAGATGTACTGACCTTATAAATAAGCAAAAAATTACACAGACTACAGAGTATTTGGCATGTGTTATTGCACAGTGAGGTGTTTACATGCAGCAGGATGTCAGTGATCCTTTAAAGTTCAGGGAATAGTTTGAATAAAACTCTAAATCTCAGACAAAAGAAGATGAGGTTTAAACATTTCCTCCTTGTTTTTATCAGGGGAAATTTTAATTCCCAGATAGATTCTTGAGAAAGGCCCCATCAGGTATTTAAGCAGCTCCTGAATAAAGACAACCAAACCATCCTGTAGGTCGAGGTTTGTTCAATTAGTCTGAAACTTCTCCCTCAGTCGGTATCGATGTGTTGAGATGAAACCTGAAGCACATTTAAGGAAAAAATGGTACAATTTCTCAGTTCAAGCTTTTCAAAATGAGATTTTTCCTTTTAAAGATAAAATAACACCCTATGTTCACCCTTTACTCTGACATGAATTTAAATATTTTGAATCAAAATATCAATATTGCAGATCCAGGTAGAATAGAGACTCTAAAACAGTCCAGTTATAAGATAATTAAATCAACAAAATTTTATTAAACATATTTTATCAGTGCTAAAAAAAAAAAAACTGTAACTGACCTCATATTATGACTTTTTTTGTGGTGATTTTTATTTATTTATCCTCTTTTAATTTATTTGATGTATAAATGTATTTCGTCTCAACTTCATGTTAACTTCATTTTATTCAGGTAAATTAAAAAAAAATCTATCTGGTGTGAATCTACAGCAGATAATTTAATAAAAAAAAGAAAAAAAAGAAATCTATAATCCAAAAAAATCTAATTCAGTCAAATTCGAATTTAAGTTTTGTTTACTTTATTATTTACGGTTTAAGTTAAAGTACAATATTAAATGTATACATTCATTTTGATTAATTCAGTTTAAGCATCTAAAAAGGCACACATTATGAAGATTATTAAGTTTATTTCATCTTTAGCTTTCGGGTTTGTAATGAACTTTTACACGAATCAAATCCTTTAATTAAGTGTATCTGATTTCAGTTATATTCATCATATGTTTATTATATATTCATTATCATACTGCTTTATTTTATGTTAACGTTTCATAACATATTTATTCTTGTGTTATTAAATAGTTAATTAACCGGCTGATGGTTTTAGGGGAAGTTTATCTGTTTGTTTTTAAACAGGAAATGTAAGAATAAATTGCAAGAATTGAGTCTTAGGTTTTGTTTTTTATAGATCTACTATTACAACCCTGTCATTTCCGACAGTCTGTGAATGCACCGTGGACGTCACTTTATTTACAGGGCTTTAACTTGTTCCTAACTGAGTCGTTTAACTGCAGTTCGGACTCCAGCGGAACCGTGTCAGTCTGTCACAGGAACGGGTCACTTAATGAGAAACACTGATAAAAACCAACAATAAAAACCAGAACCGGTCTGACAGCAGAGGCTCCAGCTACAGCAGCTGTTAGCCGCTCAGCTAGCCACCGTCGCTCCGGTCAGAGGAGACCGAGCTGCGGCTGAAGGCCTGAATCTCCCCCCAGCTCCGGCTCCCTGAGGCCGGGCCGCGGCTGCTCGTTTTAGCCCCGCAGTCCGCTGATGAACCACCCGGAGCCTCAGAGTTAATATGAAGGTTTCTCACAGACACTTTGTGGAACAAAGAGCCGCTGCTGGTCGAGATGCGTTCACGGACCAGCAGAGGCGTTTAAGGACTAGAAGAAACTGCTGTTAAACTAACCTGCAGAAAACAGTCATGTAACGCTTTATAAACCCAGATCTGGCATCATGACTTTAGAATGAACCAAAACATCTCTTTCAATAGATTTTCTGATAAAAATGTTCAATAACATAAACTCAAAACTATTTCTGGATGCAGTTTCTTTTAAATAAGTCAAGTCAGATTCACAATCACAGCTTTACCCAATATGACCTGATTTATTATTTTTTGTTTTAATCTTCATCTTATTGGTTAATTTACTTTTTTTGCTGGTAAAGATTTTCTGTCATCCAGGTCATAGTCATTCCAAAAAACGTAATAAAAACAATCCACTGGACTTTAACTCTGAAGACGTTTCGCTTCCCATATGCTATATACTACTATATATAGTGTATGAGCTACTATATAAAGCTTTAAACTCAACAATAATTCTGACATTTTCAGTGGCGTCAAAAGTTCACACATTTGTTACATAAGTAGAAGTATAGATACTGCAATTTAAAAACACTCTGATAAAAGTTGAAGTTATCAACTTGACCTCTTTACTCAAGTAAAAGTGAAAAAGTAGTTGCTCCAAAAATTACTTAAAGGATTAAAGCATAAAGTAACCTTTAAAAAAACAGCCAAATGCC